TGGATTTGCAGATCTCTCTCATATTTTGGCGTTGCCCAGGCTGAAGAAGCTCAGAACGGCAGCCGCGGATGTCTTGGAGATTGTTAGACACTCTCCTAACAAGAGATTTCAACTCAAGAAGGAGGGGCAAAGAATCCTGCTCAGAGCTGTTCAGGGCCATAGCCGACAGGGTCTGGACGACAGTGAGGCCTACGATGTTCTTGAGCCACATGCTGTCCCCACTCTGCTGGCTCACGGCTCCTATTGGAGGCACTATGACTCCATATTTAAACACGGGCTGCAGCCTGGCGGAAGGAGTTCTCAACGCCGCCACACACACCTGATAGACGCTGACATATCAGCGACAGAGATCCGGTCCGGCTTCAGGGACAACGTTGAGATGATACTCTTTGTTGCAGGCCGTGAAGCAGCCGAAGCAGGCCTCCAATTCTTTCGGTCCACCAACGGCGCTATCCTCACAGCTCAGGTAATCTCGCCAATCTACTTCAGAGGGACTCGAGACTCGGCCACAGGTACAGAGTATGACAATAAGGGCAGAGTTTGTGCGTGAGGAACTTAGTGGAGTTGCTCCCAAGTTCCAGCGGAGTTGCTCCCACACCTTACCTTGCCAGCCAGCGGGAAAGAAAATCGGGCCTCAGCTAACTTTTGATTTGTATCCCTACATTAGCAGCTGCACTCTGGAGGTCTCACGCAGTCGTTCTCACTTCAACTAATAATCTTTTAACATGCGTGCAGCAGTGTGTTGCTGCCCTAAGGGGCGAACGCGCGTTCCGCGCGGCGTTTAGGCGCGGCGGGCTGCGCAGGTTGAACTAATCGACTGCAATTCTGAGCTATGGACACTGAGGTGGTCTGCTGCCTTTAGGGGCGGGATCACCCTCTGGCCGTGGCCTCAGAACAAACTATGTTAGACATTTTCCTCACCTACCTCCGCAAGCAGCGTTACCGGCTCGAAGTCCAACATAAAAAATAGTCATGCCCTCGTATCAAATGCAGCCGACAAGAGCCCTTGAGATGTTGATTCCTGTGGTAGCAACTCAGCTGCTTCTACAGGAGGCGTCCGAATCAACGCTACATCTTCGTAATCAGGCGCCTAGCCGCTTGTTGAGCCGCTTCAGGGAAATCCTCACGAATATAACTCTTCTTTGCCGAGCACAGGAGTGGTACGGCACGTACCACCTCTTGAACAACTATTCGAGACAGCTTACCTCTCACCAGGTCATACAGCTGGAAGAGACGCGTGCCAATCTAGCTGAGAGATTCGACGAGAATTACGAGATTCAACAGCAAAGGTTCACCATTCTCAGGCAGCTGGGGATAGGCCAAGTCCTCCTGTTCCGAGAAATCAACTATGTGTACAATACTGTACCTCGCCTTCGTCGCCAGAGAGACGCTCTATGATCTGCGCAACGATTTACGCTCCCTTGCCCTCTACTATTTTCATCAACTACAGGAGATGACATCGGAGCTTTTCGGGCAATTTCACTCAGACGACCTCAGGTTGGAGCTTGTTTGCAATCTTTGGCAACAGGAAGTCTCAGACGCCAGGGACCAGCAATGGCGAAGCCACCCATGAGCTCTAGGTCGTGTTGGAGCTGCTCCCTTGTTCCCTCTCACTTGGTTAGGCTTTTTAGACAAGGTGGTGGAGTTGCTCCCTGGCACAGTTAATGCAGACTGCAGCATCTGTCCAAACAGGAAAAGAATTTGCAACAGTTAGCATTTGACTTCAAAAATCATTCTATGACTGCTCTGCCTGCTGTCGGATTTTTCTCTTAAGTACCTTTGAGGCCAGGCACCTGCAGATGCCCTGTCCTCAGATTCGGCAAGGGAGTCTCTCACAATTCCAACTATGACCTTGGATATTCAATAATGTTCCCCTTTTTGTTATAACTTCTTTCTCAGATACGGGGCCTGCGCATCTGTTCTTAAACCCCTGCAATGGGACATCCAACGCGAAGGCTGGAATCACATCATGAGCACTCCTGGAGCCGTTGTAGAGGACAGGCCCTTGCAACCATGTGAAGTAGCTTCGCTTTTTCTGCTCATGCCAACAGCCTATTTTATATGCACACTCGGAGCCATTCAGCAATCAAGACTAGCGCAGCTCTTCCTGACTCTCAGCATGACCAGGGCAATGGAGATGCTCCTGCCCATCGTGGCCTACTTTATCTACTCACGCAGTCAGGCTGCGCCAGAAGGCCGTCCAGTGCAGGAAAACATCAACGCGCTCTCTGCCTTACTCAGAGATATCCGTCAGACGGTGGAAACCAAGCCATGGCGGAAATTCTCATGGTGCACGCTGCCCAGTTTACACACGAAAATGTCATCATCCTGGACTTTGTGATTCACTCGCTAGACTTTTTTTATAGCGAAACCTTCGACATAAAGCAGTGTCGCCTCAGAAGGATGAGGGAGTTGGGGCTCATGGCAAATATGGCATTCCTATCCTCTGTTGGAGTGAGGCCTCACCATCTCATAGTGGATACCCTCGTGCGAGCCTCTGACGTCACGGTAGCTCCACGCGAAAGAGACGTGGTCGGACTCTTCGCAAACAACGTCAGTGCCGATTGGTCGCAGATCTACTTGACCACAGTCCAGAATATGCAACATGACTTCTACGCCGACGACTTACGATTCACGGAAGCTCGGACAGCGTGGGCACTAGTGGCCCAGAATGCTCGAGTAGCGCTTCAAGGATGATGACCTCATTGCGGCAGAGGAGTTGCTCCCGCCAGCCCTGGAGTTGCTCCCAGTCAGATGTCAATTCCTGACTGTCTTTGAATTTTTCAAGTTGAGCGACAAGCTTCATAATGATAAAAGTGGTTCGCGCTGTCCTCTCAACTCAACTAATTTGGGCACTTGGAGTGCTCTCAATTCACTGCCTCAGGAGACTAGCATCAAGACCTTCTGGCACACGCCTCAGTGTCTAGTGAGCAGGCGGCCTTGTTATCCCAGTTGATTGGCCTTCCACAGGTCTTCCTGACGCTAAGTCCCACCTTCTCCTTTAGAGGATCTTCATCTCTCCTCTTCTTGTCTTAACAGTGGTGGAGTAGCTCCCTCCTGTCACTGGATTCTTTTCATTAAATCATTTTATTCAGCAGAACAAACTTCTAATGATGATAAAACTTACCACACCTCTTGTCAATTGCAATCAGCATGATGCAAGCAAACTCTCCTTTCCCACCTAACACTTAGCATCTTGGCCACTGCTAGAGGTATTGCTCTCAATTACAACATGAAGAAGGACCCAGCAGCCGAGGAACAACACCAGGTCATTAGCCCAAGACCTCTTAAATAGCAGAGGAGTAGCTCCCTGCACGCAATGAGTAGGTCTTTTCAGCTTCCTCGCTGGTTGTCGCTGCTTTTCCCCTTTTTGTAGTCTTTTCTCCCTGCGATAATCACGAGTTCCTGAGGCCTCTGCCTCTCATGTGCTCTCGCATAACCTAACCCCAAGGCGGCAGTCTCAATGACCACCGGGCTCTGGTCTTAGATAAGACCGCACTGTCTCGGGACATAGAAAGGAAGGTGCTTTCAATTGCAACACTCGTTAACTTTTTGCTCGACTTGTCTCAGCAGTATCCTCTCAAGGAAGGAGTTTGGCCCATCTAAGGCCTCCACGATTCGTCTTGCCATGTTGTTTTTGCTCTTTGCACTGGTCATGGCAGGCAACAGCCCAGAGGCGCCGGAGCCAGAAGAGTCCGGACCAGGTCAGCCCAGCAACTCAGACGAACATTGTCCTATGCTGGCAGCTACGGAACACTAACCACGACAGATGATCAATGGGTGGCCTCGCTTGAGCAACCGCGAGGACCACCTCCTCCACAGCGCACTACATCGTCCTCATCATCTGATGCTCATCACTCATTAGTGACAAGGAACTTCTCTCAGAGCCAGGAGGCTGATAACGCAGCCAGCCATGAGACCCATTTGGAGACCCTCACTCCGGGAAGACCAAGAAGGAATAGGAGTCGCACACCTCCAGGCGCTCCAATTCCAAAAACAAGGCCATCTCTGGCTATGAGTCATGCTTGCTCACTCCATGACCAATTGTATGAGGCACTGCGCAGACAGCGACCCTCCTTGTCTCAGGATGAATTGCAATCAGCGCTTGATGTAGCCTTTGCACTCAGATCTACACTTGAAGCCGAGGGCCACTCGCATGAGGAGATCGTGGAAGGAGCACAACAGGTGACCAACGCCTTGATAGCACAATGGGTGGCGGAAGATATGGCCCAAGCAAATGTTCAAGAAGACGGGGACATGGAGGAGAGCAAGGAAGAGGAGGAGCATGAAGCAGATGAGGAAGTCTCTTCCTCAGCCTGTGAAGCTTTAGACTAGAGAACTGAGGAGTTGCTCCCAGCCAGTCAGCCTCCTCTAGGCTCTGACTTTTTTTCATTTAAATTCTTTATTCAGAACATCAGCCGTGATCTGCCAAGGAAAACGAAACGCCTTGCTCTCAGTACACATGCTCCAGCAAAGCACTTTGAAGAATGCCAAGGTCAACCAGTGGTTGAGCTCGGCAGAGCGCACCGTCGCATAGACGATGCCCAAGTGTCAAACGCCAGCTCAGACGGGTAGTAACACTAAGTAACATCAGAATCGCATCAGCTAGACTCACTGCTCGCAAAGCGAGTACTTCTCACCCTACCAGGACAAGAATCTCCTCGCTGCGTGTGAATGAAATGTTGTTGTTGTTATGGTTGTTGTCGTTGTTGGTTTTGTTGTTATTTGTGGCAGTTGCTGCTTCTTTGTTGTTGTTGCAGTTGTTGCTGTGGTTGTTGCTTTTGGTTGTTGTTTTTGTTGTTAGTTGGCTGTAGCTGTTTATTTTTGTTGCTGCTGCTGCTGCTGCTGTTGTTGTTGTTGTTGTTGCTGTGTGTGTTGCTTTCGGTTGTTGTTTTTGTTCTTGGTTGCTGTTGTTGAAGCTTTTGGGGCCTTGCTTTGTTGATTATGATATTGCACAATATTTTTCTAAATTTTTTTCCCGGCCGCTATTTAACCCCAAGGATAGTTCATTGGACTTGGAGTGGTTCAGGCTTCCTCGGAGACATCTTGGACGTTGGTGTTATGGACTTTGCTGGACCCTTTACTATTCAGAACATTTGCAAATTGTTGTTCAATGTTCTTCTGCAGGCAGATGTGGCACGTATTTGCAGCGGTTTTATCTTGTGTGGACGCCTGAGGAAGTGGCATCGTGCACTTAACAGGTGGAGTTAGCGGTCTTGCAGGAACAATTGTCCTTGGACCCCGAAAGGGCCGCTTCGTCAATCCGGAAGACTTTGAGCCGCACAATCTTCCGCTTGCCCCTGGGAGTTATAAAGCACTCCTCAATGCGTGCTTGGGTTATCGAATGAGGCTCCAAAAACTACAAGAGGTTCCCCACAGAAAGGTGGGGCTCCTCTTCACAGCTGTTTTTGATTTTCTGCTGCTCTTTTTTCAAAAGCTGAGGTTGTTTTTGGCACGTTTGCTTTGTGGTTTGGCTGGTATGGCTTCAACCCAGGTTCAACCCTGGGAATGAGCCTGGATCCTGTTTGGTGGCTTTGGGTTTTTACAGACTGGCTGGCCTCCTTAGAGGGCCCTGAAATACTTTTAGCCATTCTGCAGTTGCATAGTCACCTTGACAGAACAGGGGTCTTCCAAAGGGCCTTCGCATGATATTGCATGTTTTGTCTCCAAGTCATGTGATGTCTGTTCTGAAGGAGTTTTGGAAAAGTTTATTTTCGTAACGCGAGACTTCCGGTGACCGTGCATGGTGCTCCTGCACGAGCTTGCGTTTAAACCCAAAAAGATTCGAATCCTGCAGTCAAATGCTCCTTGTGCTGAGGCCTGATGCTGAAACTGGTGCTTTGGCCGCGCAGGTAGCCGCTGGACTCACTGGACTTTGAGCTAACTTTTGGAGGAGTTGGTGGAGTTAGAGTCACTGGTTGGGGCTCAATTTTCCAAACCTTTATCCTGGGAAGGCTGGATTGTCTCCAGTCTCCAATATCCTCAACTGAAGCAGCAACAGCCCAAGAGAGTGGCTTGAGCAACATAGGCCATGAACACCACACTTGCTGCAGCCACGGGTGGCATCACGGTTTTCATTTTGCGCTACGTCCTCCTCCGCAAGCACCTAGTCTCTTTTTGGAAAGCGTTCTTGTAGCACCTAGCACTTAGCTGGGCTCCAACAGGTACGACGTAGGCGGACTTTGTAACGGCATTTTGGCGGGGCTGGTATCCATCACGGCTCCATGCGGCAACGTTGAATGCGGCAGTGCGTTTGCCATTGGATTTGTTGGTGCCTTAGTTTATCAGAGCTCGTCTATGCTCCTCCAGAAGTTGAAAATCGATGACCCCGTGGATGCAAGCCCAGTCCACGGCTTTTGTGGAATTTGGGGCGTGCTTGCTGCCGGCCTGTTTGACTGGGGCAAGGGCTTCGACCACTTCCATGGCTGGAGCGGCTGGGGGTGCATGAGTGACAGCAATGGTTGCAAGACTGACATCAACGGTACCGCTCTTGGTGCGCAGTTCCTTTTGATCCTCATGGTGATCGCCTGGGCTGGCACCATCTCTGCCTTGACCTTCGCCTTGCTCAAGTGGTGGGGAGCCCTGCGAATCTCTGAGGACACTGAGGATGTCGGGCTGGATGCCAAGGCACATTCACCGCCAAAGGCCTACGCTTTCTCTGCGTAATGCACCTCAAGCCCTATATCTCAATACCTGCGAAATATGCCACTGTAGAATCTGTGGATTTGAATGTGTAGAAGTGGAGCTCTTGCACATCCAGTGGTGCAGGGACGTCACATTGACTCCCATCCAGGCCCAGAAGGCCAGAAGAGTGAAGTGCAAAGAAGCCCACTCTTCCTTGAAACGCGGAGCCGAGACATGATCACGGCACACACCAGCGTTTTCATCGTTTTCGTGTGTGCCGCCCAAAAGCCTTTACATAAACCCAGCTTGTTGGAGCTTGGTCAGCTGCGCGTGAACTCACCAATGTCTCAGTGGGACATGCTTGACTGAATTAAGCGACGAACTGACAAACATTACTGCTGAACTCAAGCCTTGGAATGTGCAAAAGACTGCCGTGCATGTTTGCCACACTTCATCAGGCATCTCAGTTGCACGGCCTTGCCTGTCGTTTTGTTATGATAGCCTGAGGCGATATCTTTCTCCATCAGCGTTGATGGCAGCAGGTTTGTCATGGTCTGCGAGGTGCATGTCACATCAGAATCTGAATGCTTTTGATTCAATGCTTTTGTGGAGGATGGCCGTCTTCGAGTCTTTCGGTTTGCGACGATGAAGATGGTACGCACCAAAGTTCAGGCCTCAGGGCGCAGTTTTCCTCTTCGTGTGGTACAGGTCCGCGCGTATGATGAATCCATGGAAATGTTCACGGCGGCACAGAGCGACCCCAACATGGGCGACCTCCACCTGGATAGGTGCCGATGTGCTGATGTGAAGCATTCTTGGACTTGAAACTCACCAGCTGTTTGCCCAGCTCAGGTTTGACTTCGGACGCCGGATCGCGGTTGAGAAAGAAATGCGTAAATCTCCTGCGCAGATGTACCAGCAGGCACATGTGCTTGGCAGATGGCAAATGGTTTCTTGACTTTCCTGCAAAATCTAGGCCATTGAGATCGACAAAGCTAGCGCGCTATACCATTTTCCGCAGGCCGTTTTCGATGAGTCCTGCAACTTCTTGGTCTTCACATCGCTTGCATCATCCTAAGCTTTGCAGTCTCGGCGCAAGATTCCACATGCTCATGCTAGAGTCATAACACATGTTTTGTGTCTTTGGAGATCGGCGTCAAGATTGTCAACCTGCACACAAACAAGCTTGTGAAGATCCTGGGCGTTTGCCTCAGATTTTTTGGCGATGCAGACGTAGTTGCAGAAGAGCAGGCACCAGTTCACGCCAGGCAACACATCGCTGGCTTGGTTTGTACAGCATCTCTTAACAAAAATACGTCATCCCTGCAGTGAGAACTGTTCACTGGACCCAGAACATTTGTTGTTCGAGTTGTTCACAGTAGTTTGTTGAATAGACCATTTGCGCGCCAATGCAGTTTCCATTATAAACTCAATTTTGTCTACCAAGTCGAAGGAATCACTCATAATTGCCTATAGATGCTTTCTAAAATTTATGACACGACACCTGATAAGGTCAATTGTGTTTTCGGAATGAAGGATTCGCCCCTACTTTCCTTATTTCTTACTGGGTGTTTGGTTGATTGAGGATGTCGTGATTTGTTCCATGAACACTTGCTGACGAGCTTTGATAGGCAAGGTCGAGCAGACAGAGAGATTCTTGGGTCTGGCCCTCTACCAGGGCAAAGCTGTGAAGAAGAAGGCAAGGCAATTCAACACCGGTTTCATGCTGACAAGTGTTGTAATTCTTGTGGAGAGGCAGCTCTGGGTGAGTCTGTAGTAGAAGGGGAGAATGACCAGAAGGCCACCAGTTGGATCCTCACTTCCGAGCTGCGCTGCGCTGTTTGTTAGCTTTCAGCTAGAGGAGTCGGCAGACCCAATTGCCTTGGTCACAGCGTACAAGAAAAACAGGCCGCTGCAACCTGTGAGCATTCTTGGCATGATGGTCATATGCAGCAAGGGATGTTGGGTGGCGGATGAAGCCCTTCAGAAAGTGCAGTGTGCCTGTTGTGCTCGCAGAGTCACGGCAGGTTCTACTTGTTCAGCACCAGAGAGCCGCCTGAAACAACGGCAGATCTAGGAAGAGACATCTTCAATGAGAAGCCGAGCAAGGCATGACATTGATCCATGTGTTGTTGTTTTGTAGAACTCCTATCATCCATACACAGTAAAGCATTGAACGTGTGCAGGAAGATGCAGCCGTGGCAGCTTCAATCAGGACTGCAAGATGCTCAGTTAGACTTCTTGATGAAACTTGGCTTGGCAGGACAGAAAATCCACTTGGAAAGCAAGCCACAATCCACACCACCATGGGGGACATTGTCGTGAAACTCTTCTACCAGGCCCGCTTTCCAGCTTCATTTTGAGTTGTCCTACCAATTTGTGTGCGAATTTCTAATTCAGTCAGGAGGTGTCATTAGACTTTGCATCTTCCGCAAAGTGGGACCAGGAGTGCCCCAAGACGGTTGAAAACTTTACCGTCCACTCCAAGAACGGCTATTACGTCCTGAGCCCAGAGTTTTTGGGGGCTCTGTGTAAATGTGCTCCCCAGCGCCTGCATGGGAGCAGTAGTAGAGCCTGCAGTTTCGTCAAAGGACAACATCATCTTCCACAGAGTCATCCAGGTGCAGAGTGAGTTGCTGGCAAATATTTGTGACTGAGTAGAGTCACGCTAGGAATGCCTCCGCAAGAGACAGCTTTGCATTGGATTTTGCTGCTTCCTATCAAGCCCTCAAACCCTGGAAGGGCTTCATGATCCAGACGGGAGATCCGCAGGGTGATGGCACTGGTGGTGAGAGTATATGGGGAGGTGAGTTTGAGGCACATGTCCGATTGACTTTTTGCATTAGTTGTATGCTAGAATGATTTGATTGGACCTGCTTGAAAGTGTCTTTCGATGATCTTGTCTCATGTTTGCTTTAGAGGATTGCTTCATGGTCGCAAGCGGTTGCTGGGCAGGATGAGTTCCATCGCAACCTGAAGCACGATCGTCCCTTCACTCTTTCCATGGCCAATGCAGGGTCTCACTGGCAAGTTAGTTCGATGTTTGAGCAGCCCTCAAGAGACTGGCGTAAACTGCGAGCAGGCCAAACACCAACGGCTCCCAATTCTTTGCAGGGAGCTCTGCTAGAGCGGAATTGTGCAGCGCAGAGCTAGCTTCGGAGAAGAAATGAAGGTCACCACGGTGCCATGTCCGTGGCTGGACGGCAAGCACACAGTCTTCGGGCGAGTGTTGCAGGGTATGGATGTGGCACTGTGCTGAGACCAGTTGAAAAAAGTTTCACGCCGACATCCCGTTGCAGCCGCCAGAGCTTGGCACACTCTTCAGGTTCAAAACATTGAGAAGACGCAAACGAACTGTGATGACAGGCCGGCAATACCCTGATCTGGTCTTGTGTGAGAAGTTGCGCAGCCCAGGCCCCTGGTGGACATCAAGATCATGGCTATCAAGATTATCAGCTAATTAAAAAAAGCCTTGGCTCCGAATGCAAGGGACAATAGAAGAAACAAATATGCGAGGACGGTCTGAACTCGTGATATTTCGCCAAACTTTACAAAAATAATATCGAATACATATCTCTCTTGCCCGTGCTCCTCCCGATACAAAAGATAATTATTTCTCGTATTCAATTATCAAAGAACTCCGCTTGGCGATTCAAGACATGGAATATCTAGCAAGAACATGTAGACGATTTAATCACGAATGATATTAACCCTGCATATTTGCTCGGTCTGCCTATCCTTTACAAATGATATGGCGCATGGCATATGTTGTTTGCTAGAGGGCTGCGCGCTTGCTTATAGGAATTAATGGCCTGACTTGCTCAATGCAGGATGCTGGAGGATTGTAAAGATATGCATTCTATTTCTTTTTCTAAAGCCAACCAAAATTTTCTTTATTTTTATTCAATAATTTGAAGAATGAATATTTTCATGAAACTTCTAGAAGGAATTCTATATCTTCGACTAATATTTCGCCTCATACGCAAGATTTTTAGAATTTATTTATCACCTCAATATTACGGCGCGGCTACTTGCGGCCGTCTGTCGCGCGCGCGGCCTAGCTTTTCCGCCTCACCTTTGAATTGCCTCTTGCGGGCCTTCCAGCGACCCTAAAATGTCGGGAGTTTTGGGGTCTCTGGCAAAAGCTAGCGACCCTAAAATCTCCGAGATTTTTGGTTAGGAGGGCGCGACTAAAAATCTCTGAAATTTTTGGTCGCGCGTTGCTTCCCCCCGGAGCGGTTTTTCACGTGATTTATCTCTCTCTTTGGCTGTGTGCGTGGCTGCTCGGCGGAACGTGCAGACCCGGGATAGCCGCGTTTGTCATGCGATCCCCCGATTCGCCGCGCAATAATTAGCCCAAGAGAGCTAATATGCGAAACAGAAATTCCGGGCTGGAGACCTTGGGCCGCAGGAATAAAAAATCTCCCGAGATTTATTCCGCGTGATTCATCTCTCTTTGGCTGCATGCTCGGCTGGTTGGTGGAACGTATAGACCCGGTACCGAGAGCCTAAATCTTTCAGAATTTATAAGTTGGCCGCGTCTGTCCACGGTCATTGGGCTAGATATTTTTTCTTATGCAGCCAGTGTTTCTTCTTATGCTCCGTGCTGGTAGTGGGTGCTCCGTGTTATGCTTGCGGTTTTTTCTGTTATGCGGAAGTGCTTGGTTTTTCATCTTTCCCTTGCCGATGTGCTTAGTTTGATGCCGACCGTCTATTTTCTTATGGGGGCCCCCCCTCCGCACAGAGCATCAGCATACTTTTTATGCTCCGACTGTGCATGCAGAACGTGATTGGACGCGTGTGCAAACTTTGTACATGGTGTGGTGGCGTGGTGGTATGGTGGCGTGGTGTGGTGGTGTGGTATCGTGCGTGCGGTATGGAGTGGTATGGTGTGGTATGGAGTTGTATGTTGTGGAATGGTGTGGTGTGGTCGTGTGGTGGTGTGGGGGTGTGGGGATGTGGTGGTGGGGCGGTGTGGCGGTGTGGCGGCGTGCGGTGGTGATGATGGTGTGGTGGTGATGCGGCGGTGTGGTGGTGGCGCGGTTTGGCGGCGTGGCGGTGTGCGGTGGTGGCGTGGTGGCGTGGTGGTGGCGTGGTG